AAAAATTAATGGACACATTTGGTTTAATTTTGTCTTTTATGAAACAAGATTTTCAAGAGTTTGTACAGATAAACGTACTAAGAGTGAAAAATTACTTAAAAAGCTAACATCAGTTTTGATTTAAAGTTTATATTCTAAAAATAGCATTTTTTAAGTCAGTCAACAACACAATAGTAAGTATAAGTACCTAATACTTTGTAATTTAATAAAGCTTCAAATCGAAGAGCTTTAACATTAGAACTTAAAAATAATTTTAATTAAAATAGAATTTTTCAAGTAATTGGGCAAAATTTTTAGGGTCTTTTGCCCAGTTCAAATGCCCTGACAGAACCGGATTCTTCCCCGACCCCGTCCAATGCGACCTCTACTACGTCTGTTCCAAAGGTGAATACGAGGAAAAACTGTGCCCTGATGGCCTAGTCTTCGACGCAAGAGACCCCAATCACGAAAGATGCGATATACCAGCGAATGTAGACTGTGATGAGCGAACCGAATTGCGTAAGTGACATTTTAATGACTTTAGACCAGATTTTGCCACTTATATAAGTGAAGAATCCACTGATACACTTTCTAAATTTTTCAAAATCTGACCTTTGTAAAAAAAGTGCAATATAAATCCAAAATTTGTCTTTTTCCGTGACTAGCTGAGATGTTACATAATCTTGCATAATTTTTAGAGGAGCCTCATCCCAGCCCCGGGTGCCCCCGCGCCAACGGTTACTACCGGCACTCCGACCCCCTCGCTTGTGACAAATTTTTCAATTGTGTAAATGGGGTCCCCCATGAGCTCCCCTGTCCCCCAGGACTAATTTACGACGATACTGCTAGTACTTGTGCTTGGCCTGATGACAGTCACCGAAAAGACTGTACAAATGCGACACGGGGTAATCACAATTGAATTTTTTCACTTAAATTATATAAAATGTGTTTAGATAAATTGGACGATGGTTTCACTTGTCCTCATGAAGAGATTTTGGGGCCTGGCGGTCGCAAATTGCCCCATCCTACTTTTGCCCATCCTGAGGATTGTGGCAAGTTTTATATTTGTAGAAATGGAGTGCAGCCCCAAAAAGGACATTGCACCAAAGGGTTGGTTTATAATGAAGAGACCTTCACCTGTGATGATCCGAAAAATGTACCAGGATGGTAAGTGATGGGTGAGGTGGTTTCATTTATTTATCGGTTTATTTTTAGTGAGGATTATTATGAGAAAGCTGAGAAATCAAAGACTAAGAAAGCATAAACACTAGTTAAGAAAAAATCTACATTTTTGTATTGTTTGTACTTGTAGAACACTATTTTTAAGTAAACGGAGGTGACTGATGAAAATATACAGTTCCAAAATTGAGTGTTTTTTATTCTTTTCTGCAAAAACTAGAATAAATGAAAACTACCTACCAGGTGAATAAAAATATGGAATTAAATGTTTTTTGCAAAACTGTTTATTTTCTGAAAAACCTTATTGATGAGTGATAAAGTACTACAAAAATGTAAGAATAAAATTTTTCGAAATTGTCTTTTATTTTTGAGTCAATTTTGAGTTAATTTGAGTTAATTTATATTAACTATTATTTTCTGAAGACAAATAATTTTAAAAAAATTGCTTGGTTCCATACTTTATATTCACCCAGTATACCACCAAAAACAAAAAGTACATAAAACATTTTCAATATGGCATTAGAGGTTTAATAAATAAAACTTGGACCATTCTGTATTATACCGCTACGTTATCAACTAACAAAAAATAAAATATTATGCGGTTTATGTATACTCTTGTGAGATTTTCAAGTTTTTACCCAAAATTTAAAAAGAGAAACGGTAAAATTGATAAAAAACTAAAAGTATGTGCAAATATTTTAACAGATAATAAGCTCAAAAAAGTCAAAATAACTCAACTTGCCTTATCCAAATGTTTATAGTTTTTGAGATACACAGGATTTTGTTCGTCGAATAAATTTAAAGTTGGAGTGCAGTATTTTACTTCACTAACTCAATTTGTAAACAAATATGATCTCTGAAGTTAGCTCTTTAAAATCTGTTGAACTGTTTAAAAAAAAATTAGCTAGAATTAGTAAAAACAGGCATACAAATGTCTCCTCATTGATTATTTTGTTGAAGATACTACCGAATTTCTTTAGGTACCTCAAATGATACCGATATTAGCAATCTAAACTTTGAGATAAGATTTTCAAAGAGTTTAAACTATGTTTATATTACATTTTTCTGAAAATTCTACCGACGCCAAAGTGAAGGTTGCACCCTCTACCTATATCTCAGAAAACATTTGGATAAGGGAAGTTGAGTTATTTTGATTTTTTTTACTCTACTATCACCTATTAAGAAGAAAAAAAAATTAAAAATTAAAGTATGAGGTAATTGATATCACCAAAATTAAAAATTACATCAGTACTATTTTAAACATTAAAAAATGTTTCTTCTCATATTTCTGAAACGACTATTATTGGCTATGTAATTTATACTATACTAACTATAATTATACTATAATCTACAAAAAATAAAATAAAAAAGTAACAAAAGTTATAATCCAAGCCTTGTTGGTCTATTGGTTGTTAAATATTTTACCAAACCCTGTTTATAGAAGTTGTCCCAAATGTCAATGTGTTAGAAAAGTACAGATTTAAGTCAATCTCTTAACTCAATGCTCAGAGTATAATTACAATAATAACATATAAAGATATATAACATATAAAGATTTAAATAGGTACTTAAAATGTTAATAAATAAATAAAATTGCTTAAAGTATGAAAAAAACTAACTCCACAATAACTGACACAGAAATGGACCACTAATAATTATGGTTACAAGACCTGTTTAAAAACTATTAAATCTAACAATCTATTATACAAGAAGGAAATCATATTGAAAGAACCCAACTAGAGTAGAATATTTTTATTCTTTGTAATATATTTTAATTCTATTTTAATTTATTGTTTCCTAATGCTAAAATTCAAATTATGACAAGGTTTTTAACCTTTTACCTTCAAAATTTAAAGACTAATTAAATGTCAGAATACACAAATTCAATTATTCTGTGACATTTCGGTACCGGTTTAAAAAGCTAGTCCCAATGTACCCTAAAGAATAGGCTAACATTATTGAATTAAAAATGACACACTTTACGAAATCGTTGGTCAGTTTTAAGTGATTTTGTTAGAAAATAGTTGAGGATTTTTGTTTATTTAGCCACAGTTTGTTTCTCTCGCCTTTGTTTAACCATGTCAAAAATTTCTATAAAAACCCACTTTCTTAAGTTTCTCTCAACTCATTTAATCGATTAGTTAATGAATGAATTGATCTTTCACAGACTCAAAAATTTTCTCAATTTTCCTCACTTTTACTTTTACCAAATCGGCGACCTCGAAATTTTTAAACCACCTAACGACTTAAGTGCTAACCGTTTTACGACTTTCACTGCTCCCGTTCATAATCTGTTACACAATGAATTAATTACGTGTGTACAGTAGACGCATGAAATAACGTACACCATATTTTTTCTTTTCGAAAAAAATGTGCTCCACATCGGGCTGATATCGTGGCCACGCGACTGGATATATCACCAATCGAAATGAAATACCACAGGTGAATGGTTGGACTTCTTGTGTGCGGCAAACCGAACATTTTTGTAGTATAGAAAGTGTTGTGGTACGAATTCGCTGCTGTTCTTGCCAGTTATCAAGGATAAGGCAACATGAGAGTGTTTCTGTTCGTCGCAATTTCCATACTGTCAGGTATGTAACATATTGACTATTTTTCAACCAAGTTTTTAGTCTCAAAATCGGTCATTTCGCGACCAAAACACTTCTAGAAGCTAGTGAAAGTGGTACAGACATCTTACACAACTCGAGTTAAAAAATTCAAAAACAAAAAACTAAAATTTTGAAAACTAGGGACAATGGTGACCTCTGTGGTACTGTTGTTCACCTTCCTGACAGCAAAAAAAATATTTCCGCGTCTTTTACAAAACGACTCGACAGCTGGACCAAATGACCCACTTAATTAATTAACATAAATAATAAAATTGTGTACAGCTGAGGGCAAAACTAATGCGAAATTTCAACTCTCGCTAATCATGTATAAAAATTCGCAAATGGCACGTGTGGTCCTTGTCTTACTTTAATTAGCACTTTTTTTCACTTTCCTTTTCTACGCAATATTTGTTTTATAATTTCCTGGTTTAGTCAACGGAGGAGTGGTCCTGCAGGATGCCCCCAGTTGTCCTGAACAACACGGAGTCCAAGCCTATGCCCACCCCGAGTCCTGCAATCTCTTCTTTTTGTGCACTAATGGTACTCTGACTGTCGAACAGTGCGAAAATGGTTTGCTCTTCGATGGTAAAGGGGCCGTGCACCACCACTGCAACTACCACTGGGCTGTAGAATGTGGACATCGCAAAGCTGATTGTATGTTTAAATTTTTGGAAAATTCTGGAAGATTTAGTACTTTTTTGCAGTGACGCCGATTAGTACTCCCGGTTGTGAGTACCAATTTGGGATCTACGAGGAAAGTCACGGCTGCTCGACTCATTATATCAAGTGTGCCCATGGTGAACCCATCCCACAGGAGTGTGAACCAGGGTTGGTTTATGATGAGAGAATCCATGGGTGTAATTGGCCTGATCTTAAGCTGGAAGTCTGCAATCCGGAAGGTATATTTTCTGTTTATTGTTTCATTGTTTTTACTTTTCCGGTACAAGAAATACTTTCAATTTCAGCTATTTTTAAAACAAAATAAACAAAAATTTAATTTGTAATTTCACGCTTCGAAACAATTTTGATTTTATTACAAATCTAAACCCAAACATTAAACTTTTTAATTATTCTAATTATTCATTTTTATCTTTCATGATTAGGTTTTGTTCCTTAACAATGAGCACGAACCCTAAATCTACTATTTTGTGTTCTATTTGTAAAAAATAATCGGCATTCTTTACGTGCTTTATTAAAAAAAAAGATGATAGGTAATCCTTACTAAAGTCTTCTTAACTGAAAACCCCATGGATAAATAAAAGTACAACGATAAAATACAAAGTTTTTTAACACTTTCTATGAACTTTTCTATGTTGTGCTAGTATTATTAATATACTAGTTTTTTGAATTCTTTTACTTTAACAAATTGGTGTTTTTTCCTACGACCCAACAGAAGTTTTTCTACCCTAATTTCAGAAAAGAAGGTGGCCATTTACCTCCCAAACAAGTAAAAATTTATTTCCTTCCCATTGAAACGGAAAAACATGCTGCTAGATTTAATTTAATTTTCTGGATCGTAAGACAAATTACGTGTATTACACTAAAGAAAAGTTTCTTTTCCTCCCTGGGTGGTTATTGCTTTCGACAAGTCTCAGGCACCTGTGGGGGGAAAAGATACATTTTCCGCCTTTGTAATACAAATAGCTATTGCACAATTGACTTTTTTTGTTTACTAATGTAATGTAGCAATTTAGTTTTTCAAGTAACTGGGCATAAAATGTGTCCAAAAAAATTTTACCAAAATTTTCAATTAAAAGCCTAAAACCAGTTTTAATCTAGATTGTGTAGTTAATTTTCTCTAAATATTTGTGTTTCTTTGTTATTGTTTCAACCAAAAAAATCTATTAAGTTACACCTTGTGTAACTTCTTGTCTACATTCATAAAATATAAAAGAAAATGTAGCTAAATAGTAAATCTATAATGTTTTAAAGATAAATTTATAATT